GGGGAACAGCCAGCGAGTGGGTCTTTCCTTCTTGGAAGTAGAAGTTTGTTTTTCAGGATCTCCCGATGTTCGTGTGTTGCTGCCCTCCATTTTAGAAGGAGGAGTTCTTGGAAGACGTGTCTTCCGGGGTTGGGCCGCTGCTAAACTACAACAGAATGTCTAGAAGCCTTTCTTGAAAGACAACTGCTGGTTCGACCAAGAAGCAGCGCTGGTTCTTTTTGTCACGCTGTAGTGCTGCGTTTGGGGGGCAAGAACCTCCTGAAGACCCCAGGCTTTTAGTTGCTGGGGCCAGCGTGTGTTGGGTGGGGCGAAGGAGAAGGGCGCTGCCTGGGGCGGAGGGAGGGATGCGGGGACGAGAGGGGGAAGTCCTGCTGCGGGCTGGGGCAGTGTGGCCGTGCAGGGCTGGGCCTGTGAGTGGGGGGATCCCGACCGGCAGTGCCGGAGAGGGCTGACTGGAAGGGCCGGCAGGCTGTTGGGCCGTCTGCCTGCTCTGAAGCTGCTGGGCAAGCCCCCGTTGCCTGTTGCGCGCAGACGTCGTGCTCAGATGTGAGGCAGCGTGCTGGAGAGAGGGCGAGGAGGACCGCAGAGGAGAGGGCCGGGCGCCTGCTGCTTTGAAAGTCAGGAGAAAGCTCCTTGGAGTTCTTCTCCCAACAAACTAAAGAGATGCCCTTTCCCTGAAGTTCTTGGCCCTCCTTTTGGCTTTTCTTCCCTTCTCTTCTTTCTTACCTTTTGCCCTTTCTTACTCTTTCCTGAGTCACACACCTATGGAGCAGCTACCTTTCAGAACACTGACGAGCCATTGGCTGTTTCATGACACTGTTTGGTTTTACCCTAAAACAAGCTCATGACTTTTTTGCTTTCTACCATACCCTCTTTGCCCTAGTAGAGCACGTTCTGGGAGGATGGACCTTTCTTCTCTGCAAAGCAATAGGAAAGCGACAACCAGCATCATGCAATAACGCAAGCTGCTGTGCAAGAGCAGTCAGCTGTCTGACCTAAAAGGCTTTTCTTAGGGCTGACAAGTCCTAACTTGCTGCTTCAGGGACGGCCTTGATCTGCTTCTGGTGGCATCCCAGATCCCTCAGATCCCCTCTCTGATCTGCGGTCAGATTTGCTGCTTTGGGTGGCTGAAGCAATTGCAGCAAGCCGTTTGTCACGTGAGCTCCCATTCTAGTCACTGGAGAGACACGTGTCCTTGCACTGGCTCTGATCTACACTTGCTGGTCGCCAGGGCTAATTTCCCAAGGTCTGCTCAAAGCTGTTTTCTTCTCTGTGTCAAGAGCGGGCGATTGAGCCCTGGGGCTTGTGAGGAGGGGTTTAAGCTGCCCCTGCTTTAGGTCTTTTTCATCTCCCTCTTTCCTGCTGACGAAAAAGCCAGCTTGGTCTGCGTTTCATCTGAAGACCAAATTCGTGGGGCACTTTCCACAGTTGACTTAAGGGCCTGCAAATCCTGAGATGCTTTGGAGCTGCTTCCTATTCTTTCTGAAATCCAAAGTCCTCTTCCAATTTCTCTTGGGGGGTTCTGGCAAGGCAAGAGGAACGGGAATATCTGCCGGGGGGCTTCCCAGAGGACAAGATTGCCATCTCCGTCAAGGAGAGTTGCGGGCGCTGTGTGCAAATGCAGTCCAAGCGTCTGACGTGTCCCTTCAGAGCAGGGTGCCACGCGTGACAGCGGTGGAGGATAAATCCAGAGGTGATGTGCTATGTTCTCTTGGCTTTGTTAGCAATGAGATGGACGTCTCTAAGACCATTTCAAAACTACTTGGATTAGTTGCCACCACTGCTGTAGCCCTGTCCCAGAAAGCCAGCCAATTTGTCCGGTGGGATTTCCCCTTTGGTCCTGGTTTCAGCTAGAGTAGAGTTAATTTCTTCTCAGGAGCTGTTCGAGCGCTGTCTTTTGGATTTGGAACGAGAATGGTGTCGACAACACACTGATGTTTTGGTGTTTTGTTCAGTTGTGTTTCTCCTAAGGAAGTCCAGGAGCTCCAGAGGCAGAGGAGCACCGCGCGCCTCTCGCTGCCGAGGCGCCAGAGGGGGCAAAGACGGAAGAGTTTCTTGTCTTCTGCCGGCAGATGAGAGCAGCAGGGGCAGGGAGCCAGGCTTGTCTGTCTTGCTGTCTATAGTTCAATTTTTCCTGTCTTTAACTGTCTTCGAGTCTGTCTGCCCATCTGTGTTGGACTCTGCTGGTAAGCAAAGGGTTCTCTTAAGAGGTGGAAATAAAACTCTTGGTTTGACCAATCAGAAGGACTTGTTCTTTTCATCCCGCTCTAGTCCTTCATTTCAGGGGCAAAACCTCCTGAAGACCCAAGAGCCTGAGCAGGGTTGCAGTTGGGAGACGCCGGACTATTCTATTCGTATTGGCTCCGAGCAACTCAAGTGCGTCCGTGTGGGGAAGGGAGAGGTGGAATGTCAGGAGGGTGAAAGGATGCCCTGGCCCAATGCAGCCCCTTGGAGCCTCCTTGGGAGGCTCTGGGAGCTGCTGCCTGGAGCCGCTGGAAGTCCAAAGCAGCCCGGGAGCACTGCCCCACAGCACAGCCCCCGCAGCCCCCAAGCCAGTCTCAGAAGGGCTGGCAGCCTGGAAGCGCTGCCTGAGGGCCGGCAGTGGCCACAGGAGGCCAGAGCAAAGAAGGCAGCACCACGCGTCCCTTTGGTGGTGGTGGCTCTGCCCTCTGGGGCTTCTTGGTAGGTGGGTCTCCCCTGGATCAAGGAGTGAGAGCTCGGATGTTCTCCCCTCTGGTTACTTTGTTTCCATCTGCATGCTGCTAAGAGCTGTCCCAAGGGGAAGAAAACACACGCCCAAGCTGGAGCACTGGGCAGGAGGGGAGCTGAGTTTCCTTCCAGTGCCAGGCATGGGCAGAGCCCTGGCACCTTCAACGGTGAAGCCCCCCAGTCGATGGCCCAGCTCTCCCCATCAGAAGCCCTCCAATCAGGGCAAAGGCTGCGACTCCGCCCGACTTTTCCTGCTGGACCTTGCCAAGGCCGCTGGAAGCTCTCAGTGGGCAGTGGGCAGGGGCAGCAGTGGAGGCAGTCCCGCCAGTGGCCCAGATTCAGGATGGGGCCTGATCCAAGTGGCTCTGGGGCATCTGCAGCCTCCTAGAGCTGTGCCAAGGGCAAGAAATCCCAGAGCAAGCCGTGTCCCATGGGGAAGAAAGAAGGAGAAAAAGCTGCCTCAGGAAAGCAGGAAAGGCAGCCAAAGGCACACTCTCTGGGTTGGGCCCTTGTAGCCGGCGGTGTTGCTGAAGCCCCACACCGGTTACCAGGAGGGGCCCAGTTCCCCCAGCAGTGTGGGCAGAGACTCTGAGCTGCACAGCACACGTCCCGCCCCAGCAAGTGCCCAGGACCCCCCTGTTGTCCCAAAGCGGGTTCTTTCCCGCTGGGTGCAAGAGGCCGATCCACACACACGGTTGAGGGATTTGATTTATTGACAGTTCTGCACAGAAGGCTGTGCTGGTTGGCAAGCCCGAAAGCATAGCAAGGCAATTCTAGCCACAAGGAACTTATCTCTCTGAGCCTGGCACATCCCGCGGCCACGGCTGGCTGCCCAGGGTGGTGGCACCGCCAGCTGCGGGATGCGGACAGGGCTGAGCTGTGGGGAGGCCGCGGGCAGCGGGGCCGTGCGGGAGCTGTTGGCTGGGGCCGGCTGGAGCGTCTGTGAGGGGAAAGCGGGGGAGCCTTGTGCTGGGCCCAGCCGGTTCCAACTAGTTCCAGCCAGCTGCAGTCAGTTGTGTGTCCCCCATGCTGCTGTCCTCGGGGTGCCGGGAAATGGCCCATTGTGACAGCGGCGCATTGCTGGGCCCTTTGTGATGCAGGGCCTCCTTGGGCCCCGCGGGCCATTGTGACAGCGGCGCATTGCTGGGCCCTTTGTGATGCAGGGCCTCCTTGGGCCCCGCGGGCCATTGTGACAGCGCGGGGCCCCGCCCTGCCCGGGAGGCTATTTAGGGAGGGCAGAGGCCCGGAGTGCCCTCTTTCTCCCAGGAGAGCATCTGCCTCAGGAGGCAGCATCTCTCTCTCTCGGGGACCTCAGCGGCAGAGGAATTAGCCGAAGTGGAAGATGTGGAAGACGAAGAAGTTTTCCAACTTGCAGCCACGCAAGTGGCTGTCGAGTTTGCAGAGGAAGCACAAGGTGAAGGATGGGGTAGTAGAGAGCTGCCTTGGCAGCAGGGCTGGGCTTGCGGGTACGGAGAGGCCTGACGTGCCATGGCAAGCGCCTTCATCTCACAGCGCCTTCTCCTCCTCTCCCTCGCCACAGGTGGACAACTGGCAGACGCAGGCAGCAGCGCAGGAAGAGGAGAACAGCACCTCTGCTGCTGCCGTGGCTGAGCAGGTGAGAGCAGCAGGGGCAGAGAGCCAGGCAGCTGCCCCACACAGCCCCAGAGGCCGCGGCCGCGCTGTGCTGGGCACGCTGCAGCGCGTGGCACGCGCCGCCCGGAGCGGGCTCGCAGCTGGGATCCGGCGACGTGGCCGGAAGCCGGAGCCACAGAGGGAGGTGGAAGCAGGTATGGAGGGAGCGACAGCAGGAACCTCCACAGCAGCAGGGTCAGAGAGGCAGGACTCTGCCCTGCTTTGCCCCTGCTGTCTCCCCAGCCCCTTGCCAAGCCATCGGGAAGCTCTCAGTGGGCAGTGGGCCGGGGCAGCAGCGGGGGCAGTGCTGGCAGTGGCAGAGAGCGAGGACGAGGCCTGGTCCCAGGACGACAGTCTCTGGGATATCTCCAGCCTCTTAGAGCTGTCAACGGGGGATGAAAACTCAGAGGAAAGCTGGAGTAGTGGGCAAGAATGGAGCTCAGTGTCCCTCCCGTGCCAGGCATGGGCAGAGCCCGGCAACTCTCAAGCAGGCCCAACCCCAGTCCATGGCCCAGGTGTCAGCATCACCAGCTCTTACAGCAGGGCAAAGACCCCCACCCCGGACGGGTTTCCAGACCGCTGCGCCCTCAGCCCCTTGCCAAGTGACCCGGAAGCTCTCAGTGGGCAGTGGGCAGGGACAGCAGCCAAGACCGTCCTCCCAGCGGCACCGACCGAGGATGGGGCCTGGTGTGAGGAGCTCTCAGACATCTGCAGCCTCCTAGAGCTGCCCC